AGGGGTAGGCATAAGTTTCTTAGATGTGATACCAAAAGCAGCATCAATTAAATAAATAAATAAACATATCAGACTTAAAGAAAATATTTTCAGGCTGATTGTGATATTGAGTGTGCAACTTCATAAGCTTAGTAACAACTATTTTATATGTTCTCACAATGGGTACACTGTCCTTCAATAGTCATAGTGCTATGTGATACTCTAGGAAGAAAAAAGAAATTTTGCCATCATTATAGATGACTATCATACCAATGTATTAATCTGAAAATCAGTAAAGAATACAAATCCAAGCCTGTTCCTTTATAGTTGAATTTATAGTTCATTTCTAGTTATCAAGAAAAAATTTTTCTTTAGGTGATAACACCAGTTAATAATGTAAAAAAAAAGATAATATATATATAAACCATTATTTTAAAACCTCCAACAAAATAACTGATTTAAGCAGGAATAATTTTTATATGTTAAATAAAATAGTTTAATAATAACGAATATTCAAAAGGTAGCAAAGTATCATCCAGCATATTACTTGCTAATTATAAAGGTAAAGGATAATTTTACAATGGAGAAATCTGATAGACCCCCCTTGACCCATGGGGCAAATGTAGTATCATTTAATAGTATCATTGAAAAAACAATTTGACATTAGCATCTCCTACAGCTGATGCAATATCACTTAAAAAGCATCACACCCTCAGCATCACTGAAAAAGCATTCTTGTCAAAAAATGTTTAACTTGAATCTAATTAAACACTGAGACCCAAATCTAGCTTACAGAAGCATAGATGTTAGGAGAAATATATAACCATTGCAAAAAGCCATCAGAAAATCTAGTATTGGAGACAATGAAAGCAGTTGGGGTTCAGTAGTAGAATTTTCACCTTTCAGGCAGGAGACCCAGGTTCAATCATAACTACTTCTATCATAACCATCACCCATTTATCAGTGGAAGTTTAGGTATTACTATGATCCTGAATGAGGAGTCCTGGTAATGTAGTGGTTACACAATGGGTTGCAATCCGCATGGTCAGAAGTTCAAAACCACCAATAGATCCAGAGAAAGACTAGGCTCCCCGTAAAGAGTTAGTCTTGGAAACCCACAGGGGCAGTTCTACCCTGTCCTGTAGGGTCTCTAAGAGATAGTATCGACTCAATGGCAGTGACTTTGGTATTTGAGAAAGCATAACGATGGGGTCATCAAGAGTTGGGAGTCAACTCCACAGCAGATAACAACATAAGACAAATGGCCTGATAAAACAATTGACCTGGTCCCCTCAAAAATCATATAATGAAAAAAGTTATGGAATGTTTTAGATTAGAAGAGACTAAACAGGCAATAATCAAATTTATCTTCTACAGTTTGTTGATTATCAGATATTCAGGGTAGGGTTTTTTTTTTGTTCTTATAAATCATTTCATTGGAGGCTCTTACAGCTCTTATAACAATCCATACATCAATTGTAT